CATCCTCAGACTGGAGGGTTTGAACTTGGGTCAACGGTGTGCGGGTCAACGCTCTTAACCACTGAGCTAGACACCTTAGCACACTTACTGATGTGTTTGTCCTCCCACTTCAGGTGTAAAAATGCCGCACACATTTAAAATAGATGACCCGGGGTTCGAACCCACGACTCCAAAATCTCACTGCTGGTGGAAGCTTGCTGCCAAACCTCTAAGCCAGCTAAGACTTTGGATGTGGGAGCTAACAATCATGATGGAATACATGAAATGTTATTGCTAACTCCTAGAAATATAACTAGTTGTGCTGAGATTTAAAGCTACACGTCGTGGGCAATGGGCTGGTAGCTAACCCTTTGTGTGTCCAGCACGGTAAGTCCCGTATTACTGAACACAATGAAAAGAGTTGTATCAGGATTCAAACCTGCAACTCCAAAAATTGTGGAAAATCGTATGGTTGATTCAAGATTAGAACCTGCAAATCCATAAACTCAAGTGGGTTAAAGGTTGGCTATTAAACCACTGGGCCAACAAGCTGGTTGGTTGAGAGTTCTAGAAAATAAAGTATGTGTAAATATAATGTGCTCATTGACTGCTAGAAATGCATATGATTGACTCAGGATTCAAACCCACAAATCCAAAAACTCATGTAAATAAGAGGTTGGTTACTAAACCACTGGGCCAAAAAGCCCATTGCAAGGGAGTTTTGGAAAATAAAGTACTTGCAAATGAGAGGTAAGATTCGGCTCCTAGAAATTGAGATGGTTGAGTCAAGATTCGAACCTGCAAATCCATAAACTCAAGTGAGTTAAAGGTTGGTTACTAAACCACTGGGCCAACAAACCGGTTGGTGGCGAGTTCTAGAAAATCAAGTATGTGTAAATAAAATGTGCTCATTGACTCCTAGAAATTGAAATGGTTGATTCAAGATTCAAACCCACAAATCCAAAAACCAATGTGGAGTAGAGGTTGGTTATTAAACCATTGGGCCAACCAGCCCATTGGAGGTGAGCTCTAGGGAATTAATAATTTGTAAATGAAATGTGCTCCTTGACTCCTAGAAATTCAAGTGTTTCATTGAAGATCCGAACCTCCAAATCCAAAGGTTGGTTACTAAACCACTTGGGCCAACTAGTCCCCCGAGGGTTCTGCTGAGTAAATTAAGAATTAGGAAATGAAATCTGATCCTTAACTCCTAGAAAAAACTGTGAGTCATTTTGGTGCCACCCCTCCAATGGTGTCACCCGGGTGCGGCCTCATGTGACGCCACTGGTTTTATTACCTGTTGATCCAAAGACCGCTGTTATAGTGTTCTGTGTGGTCTGTGATGGGGACATGTCCCCTACTTCCTGTCACTATGATGTTTCCTGTACTATGTCTGCAGTCTCTGACCATCCCCTGTACTATGTCTGCAGTCTCTGACCATCCCCTGTAGTATATCTGCAGTCTCTGACCATCCCCTGTACTATGTCTGCAGTCTCTGACCATCCCCTGTACTATGTCTGCAGTCTCTGACCATCCCCTGTAGTATATCTGCAGTCTCTGACCATCCCCTGTAGTATATCTGCAGTCTCTGACCATCTCCTGTAGTATGTCTGCAGTCTCTGACCATCTCCTGGTATGTCTGCAGTCTATGACCATCATCTGTATTATGTCTGTAATCTCTGACCATCTCCTGTAGTAAGTCTGCAGTCTCTGACCATCCCCTGTAGTATGTCTATAGTCTCTGACCATCTGCTCTAGTATGTCTGTAATCTCTGACCATCTCCTGTAGTATGTCTGTAGTCTCTGACCGACCATCTCCTGTAGTATGTCTGCAGTCATTGTGTCACTCATGCGATGGGGTCATGAAGCTCTGTTGGTTTGGTTGTCACCCTGGGCAATCAGCTGAACACCGGCATGGTGCGCCCCATACAGACGCTCCCCCCCACATGAAGAAACAATCCGTCACTCTTTGGTCATTAAAAAATAACAGTTTAATTAGTTGAACAGTAATATTCATTTTTGCTTAAATATGAATTGTTACAGCATTTCTATATTACAAAGTGAACGGGCCGAGACTCCGGATAGAACATTTCTCTTTAAGTTACATTTCGCAGTGATACATCTTCAGCAAGTTAACGTAGAAAACCCCTCCCCCGCCCCCGGGGCATGCCAACGTCACCGGCAAAGATCTCCGCTGGCATTTGTGCTTCTCCCCCATTGCAAAAAAAACAAAAACAGAATATTGCACTATATACAGGGGAAGGGGCGTGTCAACTCAATTTGCCATGCCACGCCCCCCTCCCTCACTCGGGGGGGCTCAACATAAAGCGGTAACAAAGATGATTGAAAGTGAACCGTTTGTAGGGACATGGGAGTCTATAGGAGTAGTAACGCGAGTGCCGATTGGCCCAGGGCAGCTCTTGTGGTCGGTCAGGTTTGGCTGATTTTGGCTGAAAACAAAAATGCGCTAATGTGTATATCTGTCAACCAATGACGGAATGGCCAAGCCGCGGGCGGCGCCCAGTACTACACCCCCGGCAGTGTCTTTAGTACATAACTCTGATGGGGAGATCACCACGAAGCTGCAACTCTCCCAACCACTGCGATGGCCCTGCGATGGAACCAGCATGCGGTAAGGACGTTGTAGGATGGCAGCATGGGGGGTGGATGAGATCAGGGTGCCCCCTTCTGGCAGCATGCAGCATGTGTGTGCGTATTGCTGCGTGAGCTTTGGTAATGACATTTTCACCAAGTCTACTAAAGCAGCACCGAGGCCGGCAGTGAGGAGCAAAGTGCAGGCAAAGCATGTTGTGGGAACCCCGGAATCTATGTATGGCGCCTGACCACACAGCTTTCCTCTGCAAATCCTAAGCAATGTTTTGTAAAGTCCTTTACCCGGAGATCCTGCCGGTAGTGACACTTCCTGTTGCAGGTTGACAAGGCTAAACAGCTGCCTCACGATTGGCGGCATTGTTGTCACCCGGCCGCATACGTCCCTTCAGTTGGCTGCTGGAGGCATGCATAGACCTGACCTTCTACTGGTAAAGTGCACACGGCAGGCTGACAATGCTGCTGATTACTGGAAGGCAATAGCTTTTGCGTTGTCAGCCTGCAGCAGGAAGTGCTGGTACTGGCAGGATCTCCGAGAAAGAAACTTTACAAGAAAATGATTTGCTTACATCAGTTGTATGCAGTGAGGCAAGATGGCCAACATACTGGAAAACAGATTTTGGCCTTACATCCACTTTAAAGTGACTCTGTCATGATAAAAAAAAAAAGTATATCAGCTGCCAGTGAGAATGTTCGTTTCCTGGATGTCTGCGTCTGACCTTCAACAAATATGGAGATTCGGAGTTCTGACTTCATTTCCAGGATGCTGGTTCCATTCCCAGCCGCATTTGAAAAGAAAGCCAGCAATGGAAGCCCCCGTTCCTTCCTCATGACAGAGTCACTTTAAGCGCAGTTGGGGAGATGAGAATCCTCGAAGGGATAAGGACATCAATCTACTGAAAAAGCCATTTCTACAGCGGCCAATGGAACCCGCGTCCACTTCAGGGACCTCATCTGGAAACCAATCGGGTGATAGAAGGAACTCAGGTTCATGGGTCACTGTATAAATGGCACCTTTAAGGGGTGAGTGGAGCTGGCAACATCTATCTAAATACAAAGCAATGTTCCTTAAAGGAGCAGAAAGCGTCACCCATGGCAGCCAACCATGCCCCTCCCTCTTCTATCTCCAGACAGTTTGTCTAAATACGATATAATGCCATCCATAAATCACAACTACAGATGGACCCTCCTAGTCCTGAGGTCACCACCACCACAGCGTCCTCTAACATGTCCATTACAGCCAACCCAAGTTATCAGATATGAGCCGTTACCGGAGGGGAACCTGAGGTGACAGTTCATTCTATACGGAGCTCAGAAGAATGGTGGATACATTTGACGTTTAGGAAATGCTGATATCATAACTTCCTGAAGGTCTAGAGATGGATTGTCTTCCATTAGCGAGACCCCGAGGAAGAAGATATACACTTCTTGTTTGTTTCTTCTCATACAATATTAGGCCAAAAGTCTGTGGACCCCTGACCAGCAAACCTATGTGAGTTTTTGGACATCTCATTCCAAAACCATGGGCATCAATCGGAAGTTGCCCCACCACCACCACCACCTTTGTATCTAGAATAACCTCCACTCTTCCCGGAAGGCTTTCTACAAAATTCTGGAGTTCTTTCACACCAAACTTTAATGACCTGGCTCTGTGCTCCCAAAGTCAAAAATCTGGAGGGGTTTCCACATGCTTTTGGCCTCATAGTGTATAGACTAGTGATCTTGAACTAGTATCTGTTGAGTCATTTGGCTTGTGGAGCCCTTTCACCTGTCTGAAAAAGGATGGCCAAGCCAAGGGGGTCGAAATTATACTTTTCCAATATAGTGTGAATACATAGGCCATTTTGGGTTCCATTTGACATTGACCTTGGCTAGCAGACACTTGTTACCATAGATCTGAATTGGTGAGTTGGGGCCGTGAAATGGGCTTGACCAATTTTGGGTTCTAATTGTAATCCAATGGACAAATTGACCAATTTCGGGTTTCACAGCCGCAATACTGGGGCCGTGAAATGGGCTAGCAGTCACTTGTTACCATAGATCTGAATTGGTGAGCTTGGAACAGTTGGGGCCGTGAAATGGGCTTGCTAATGGACATATTGACCAATTTTGGGTTCTATTTGACATTGACCTTGGCTAGCAGACTCTTGTTACCATAGATCTGAATTGGTGAGCTGGGAACAGTGAATTGGGCTTGCTGATGGACAAGTTGACCCCAAGGGTGACCTCAGTGACGGCAAGTTCAACACACATTACGGCGTGGAATAGGCACCAAAATATTTCCTCTTAATTTGCTGTACCACAAGTTAAACCCTGTAGTGTGTATTGGATCTGCAGTGTCATGGAGGTCATCCCTATGCTGAACGAGTCTCATCTGTGGCCCTTTGAGGAATGCATCCTGACCGTCATAATATGAAGGCATCTTTAGCTCTTCATCTCACAAAGCTAGGCCTGGCTACAGCTAAATCGGGGCTGGTGAAGCTTCTATGGGATATGAATTTAGCAGCAACTTTTTATAAAAACCAAAAGGAAATGGCAAATCTTCATGTGGCCGGGTCTCTAACCCGCCGGAACGTAATGCAAAGTAGACCAGTATATACATCACCAGATATATATACACCGACGTACACCTGACACTTCAATAGCTTTACTACTTCTATGAAAGCACACAAGCCCGTTCTGTTGGTTTCTTAAACTGTACAGTCCAAAAGAAAAAAGGAAAAAGAATCAATGCATCATATACAAATTACTCCTCGTCAATCTCGGCTACAAACTGTGAGTGATGTTCCGGGGACTTGCTGTGTGTTTTGCTTAAGTGCAGCTTGACTGCGTGTTTGCTGGCAAATGTCCGACAACACAATTTACATTTAAACTTGGAGTCCGTGTCCTCTTCTCCAGCTACAGGTTGCGGGGACTGCCGAACAGATACTCGGGAGATTTCCTTTTTGACCTTGGTCTGCTGTTCAACAGTCAGTCTGTTCATGTCTTTCATCTGGAATCCAAGATGGGTCTCTAAGTGGCCTATGTAGCTGGAGGGCGTTCTAAACTGAGATGCGCAGTCACTGCAGTAAAACACGGGGTGTCCCTTATCCATGTTTTTCAAAAATTTTGTCCCGCCAGTCTTCCGGAGCTGATACTTGACATTGGCCAGCCAGTGGCTGATCGTAGTCATGGACAGTCCAGTAAACTTTGAGATCTGCATGCGTTCTTGAGGCCCGAGGTCCGATAACAAGTATTTTCCCTCTGAAGTCAGGAAGAGACTGGAGGCAAACTGGGCTTGTAAAATGAGGAGATGCTGAGGATTCCAGTTCGATTGTCTTCCCTTTCTTTTATGCAGTGATGAGACCTCCGTGGAGACTACCTCAATGTGCCTGGAGTCCATGTCTAGTTTCATGGGGCCCATTCTTCCAGAAGATACATGCTTTGGGGTTGTAGCTTTTGGAAGAATTTTAACCATATCAGCTATGTCTGACAGAGCGTGCTTCTGAGGGGGAGACGTGCAGGACTGGGCTTTGGCCGACTCAACCTTTTTATTCTTAGATTTGGTGAGGTCAATGGGCTGGTCACTTCCTTCAAATAAAAACTGTGTGGCAGGCCGTGGCGGAGTAAGACATACAGGTGGCTTTTCCACTCTGTTCGCAGGAGGCTTCTGAAACACGGCGGCCAGGCTTGTGCAATTAGAACTTCCTGGAGACCTCAGCGATTCAGAGGCTTTTCCTAGGTGATTGTTTAGGACAGACTGCAAAGCACTGAGGGGGTTCACGCATGGGATGTCGGGGGAACAATTTGCAGAGCTCCTCAGTGCTGAACAGTCTTCACTTCTTGGTGAACATTCCATGGGCTCCAGGAACCTTGCCTTCTCCTTTTCACCATTCTGCCTAATATGTTCCTCTGGTTTTGGTGAGCTGTTGGATTCTTTTCGCGTCTCAAGCAAGTCTTCCGTTTCGGGTGACTCTTCTTTTTTGTCTGTTGGCATCACCTCCATCTTTATTTCTTTTGTTGGTTCTATTTCTATCTCTGCATCCTCAGATTCCTCTTTAACTTGTGTAGATTGGGACTCAGGAGGGGTATTGGAGGGAAGAGGCACAGATTTGCATTTAGGAGCAATAGGCCTAAACTTATTAGAGAAGGAAGGCCTCATCTGCATTACTTGAGAATTGAGGGACATGGAAGGTTTCATGACATCTGAGATTTGGTATGCGGCGTGAATGCTGGGATACGCGCTCCAGCTGGGAGTTCCGTTTTGGGCCTTGTTAATCGCTGAGGTTACTGTGTTTTCTAAAGATTTCAGGATGTCACCTCCTTCCTTCGAAGCGTCTTCCAAATCCTCTTCTCTTAAGTACTGGTATTTCAGTGTTGGATCCAAAGGCTTTTCCATGGCGTCCCTATGCTCCTCGCTCGTGTCTACTTTTTCGTCTTTGCTCCCCTCTTCTGAAATGTCCGTTTTACATTCTTTGCTGGTCGTCATCATTTCAGACGTGGATCCTCCAGAAGGGGAGCTTGCCGATGGCTTTGACTGACCGTCACTGGACGGGGAATCCGAGAGGGACTGCATCTTTTCTACGGCTAGTGGGTCCAAGACCAGCTGCTTGCCCTTTTTTGAGGCTGAATTAGTAACTTTCAAAAAATGTCCGGTGACCATCATGTGTGTGGTGAGCTGCTGCAAAGTGTCGTGAGAACTTCCACATTCCATGCACTTTAGAATTTGGGACTTGCAGGCTTCAAACTGCCAAGTGTAGCTGGCACCATTTTGATACCCATAGCGGTTGTTAGAGGATAGCTGGGGGTTTGAGTTTTTCTGCGTGCTACAGTGTTCCACAAAGGAGCCCGTGGTGGAGTCCGGCGAGCACGGCCGGTTCACCTCGAACATGCGTTTTTTTGTAGAGACCATCTTAGATGAGATGCTTGGAATGGGTTCCTTCAAAGGCACTTTTTGGTAATGTTTCGTTTTTATCATGTGGACGCTTAGATCTTGGAGCGAGTCAAACGAGTCACCGCAAAACATGCATTTTAAAACTTTCTGTGCGTCCTCCTTGTCCATGTCGTGAAACGCCCTTTTTCTAGTCTTTGAATAAGTGGCTGGTCTGTGCTTGTCTTTCTTGTGGTTGTTGTCTTGATAATGGCCCGTTTCGTTCATGTGCACGGTTAGCTCCACCAGGGTATCGTAAGCAGCGCTGCACTGTCTACAGCGAAACCTGCTGGCGCCTGTGAAAACGGTGTTGTACATTTTGGAGTTTTGCCGGTACAGCTGCACAGAGCTGAACAGGTTCGGCTTCGAGATGGATTTCGCAGGTAGGTTTTGCTGTAAACTTTTGGAAAGGGCATCCTGATGCCAGTCGAAATCTCCTTTGTTGGTTCCGTTGCGGTTGTCGCACGCTTTTCTGTCAGCGCGAGGCACCTTGAGACTCAGTCCTAGGTTCGTCCAGTAGGAGTCGGACAATATGTTGGCATAGGACATCTTCATCTTATTAATGCAGTCCTGCGCCTCTGCTTGCAGCCTGGGTTGTTGGTTTGTTTTTTGGTCCTGAGCATCTTTCGGAGAGGATAAGCTTTTCATGTCCGCCATCTGGTCGCTGACATCACTTAGCAAGGATTCGCTCTCCCCATCTTGGTTGCACGTGTGGCTTGCCGGGGAGTCGTGGAAGCTGATGCTTCTCTTCGAGTCCCCAGCTACCTCTTGTTCCTCATCGGTAGGAGAGTAGGTGCTGTCCTGGAGGTGGGCAGTAGAGGTGCTGTCATCGTCTTCCTCCTCTTCATCCTTGATGCTGTCACCTTTCAGCTCCTCTTCTTCTTGGAAGTAACCTGCAGATGGAACAACATGCAAAGTGAATATTCTCATACTGACAGAACATTAAAGAAAAACATTTAAAGTAAATGAAAACCCGTATTTGCTCCCTTTTGGACCATTTAACACACAATTCAATGTTTTGTTATATCTGTTCTATACGTGCAAAAAAAAAACCTGTTGATCCTGCCAGAAATCCAGTGTTCCTCTGCTCTCTACGTCTACTGACTGTTATCAGTTAGCAGTGTTCCCAGTTCTCTCTGTGAACTACAAAACTCCCTTGTTATGCAGAGGAGGAGGTGTTGCGTACCTGGTCCAAGTGTGACAACGCTGCTTCTCTACAGATACAGTGACAGTGAGTGAGTGTTATCACATAGGACAGGAAGTGTTACTGGCGGGATCAACAGGTCAAAAAAAAAGATAGAATAAAGAAAACTAATGCAGCCACATCTACGGAATGCTGCTGAAATATAGGACATTTCTCTTCTTGGGTTTGGATACATTCTAAGTAACAGGAAGAAGATTTGTCTTACTTGTAGCAAAGTAATAAATGTATCTACATCATCACCCGGAAACATTCCCCAGAAACTCAAATATTTAGGAGACGTCCTCCGCTTATTTACATACAAGCATTGTCAGAATATTTCCGGGTAGGACGGGAAGAGACCTCCATCTTCAGGAATTCAGAATTAACAGTGGACAGTGAAAATGAAGTATTTACATGCTGGTTGTTAGAAGTGATAGAGCACAGTCATAATCAGAGGACAATGCGGTAAAATGGAGGACGGCCATGGAACCGGGAGCGTGGACGGCCATGAAACCGGGAGCGTGGACGGCCATGGAACCGGGAGCGTGGACGGCCATGGAACCGGGAGCGTGTACGGCCATGGAACCGGGAGCGTGGATGGCCATGGAACCGGGAGCGTGGATGGCCATGGAACCGGGAGCGTGGATGGCCATGGAACTGGGAGCGTGGATGGCCATGGAACTGGGAGCGTGGATGGCCATGGAACTGGGAGTGTAGTGTGGATGGCCATGCAACCGGGAGCGTGGATGGCCATGGAACCAGGAGCGTGGATGGCCATTGAACTGGGAGTGTGGATGGCCATGGAACCGGGAGTGTGGACGGCCATGGAATCGGGGGTGTGGACGGCCATGAAATCGGGGGTGTGGATGGCCATGGAACCGGGGGTGTGGCAGGGGAATTATAACAGCCATTGTTTGGTAGAGAAGAGTCGGACACGCATGCGCAATCTGATCATCTCAAGATATCCCCTAAAAATAAGCCTTGTAGTCATATGAGCATTACTGGTTGGGACAATGGAGGAGGGAACTGTGTGCGGACAATCTTACACTGGGGAAAATAATTGCCCCCCCGAAGTCAGCTGGGAAACTGACACTTCCAGCAACGTTGATCTCCTGGGTCCCCCACAGCGATCAGATGCTCCTCCCTCTGACCTCCATGACTCTTTGGGGCAAGATGGAGGAACTGGTGAGCGCTCCCTATTACAGTGACTATTTCTGAAGTGATTTCTGCTTTGGGCTGGCTTCACATCTCACCTATGCATTGCAAGGTTGTCATTCATTTAGAGTTCCTTCAAAATGGCGCCCCAGTGCACAAGTATCAGAGGCAGCAGAGCAACACGACGCAGGTGGCTGACCTGCAGACATTTGAATCGTACTTGTTTCATCTATTGGATCTAGCTCCCACCAATCATGTTTCTCATGCAGGTCACATAAAGAAAAAACAACTTGTGGTCAATCATCAACTTTGTTACAACGAAGCTAAACAGCATTCGTCTGAAAGATCCAGCGGAGGTCGGCTCACATCAGACAAATGTTTAGTGTTATCACAGAAAGCCACAAAAGCTGGAAATTCATCAATATTTCACAACAGCCTTGGGGAGATTGTAGATTGCACCGCTGCAGGGCAGCTAATGGAATCGCACACAAGGGTTTTGTACATTTTAAAATCAGCAGCCAGAGAAAGAAAAAAATACCTTGCAATTTGTAACAGCAAACAAAAGTCAAAATCGGTGCGGGGGAGGGGCTGCAACGCTTAAATGCCGCTAACGCTTTTTGTGTGTCGCTGCGAGAGGTTCAGCGACGGCGCGGTTTGTACGTCGGAAACCGTAATAAAGACTAACGTTGGTTTTTGGAACCTGCAATCCGGGATTGGGACAGATGGCACCCGAAATTCCACCTGCTACAGGTCAGACGCACAAGTGAGCAGGTCGGCGTATCGGCGACCTTTGGCTCTGTAGTCTTAGGAGGTCACTGGCCCAGAAATGGTGGCACGGCGATGCTGGGGGGTACCGCGGTTTGGTCAGTAGGTGGGACGTTATGTATCACTTTGATTCGGCTCTTTCTCACATTATACGGCTCCTGGGACCCGGCGATACGCCATCAGTAAGAATGGATACACTTCTGATGACTGCGAGGTGTCAGAAGAGCTGACAAGTTTATGTAATTTAATGACAGATCCATCAAAGTGCAGATGAACGTATGGCAGGGCAGAGCCGGCTCACAATTTTATTAGCTCTAAATCCCGGCCATGAAAGGTAATATGTTTTAATTGACCTATAAAAAAGCTCCGATTCAGCGGCTGTCCTCCAGGAAGACTGATGTGATTAATGCGCCGTCAGGAGAGAGTGATGGCCGGCTCGGGACGCTGACGTTCGCTGTCAGGAACAGGAGAAAGCCGGGACGTACGGCCAGCCATGTTTCCCTGTCCAGTGTGGCCCCTTCCAGGGTCAATAACATCATATGAGCCCTCTTATGTACTGCTCAGGGGGACCGCACCTACCCTGCGGGTTGTCGGCTGCTTACACTGCATAGTGGCGTATTACCACGATGGCGTTATGTTCACTGGTATCTGTGCACATGGCCAACACATGCTCAGGTCCTTCTCGCAAGGTCACGCCCAGCTGCTAAAGTCACACCCAGCTTTCAAGGTCATGCCCGGCCCATAACATAACACCCAATCCCTGAAATCACACCCAGCTTTCGAGGACATGCCCAATCCTGAAATAACACCCACAAACTGAAGTCACACCCAGCTTTTAAGGTCTGTCTGCCCCCCCCCCCCCCCAGGGTCTACCCCAGCCACTGATGTCACACCCAGCTTTTAAGGTCTGTCTGCCCCCCCCAGGGTCTACCCCAGCCACTGATGTCACACCCAGCTTTTAAGGTCTGTCTGCCCCCCCCAGGGTCTACCCCAGCCACTGATGTCACACCCAGCTTTTGAGGTCCTGCCCGGAACCCAAGCTTATACTCAGCTACTGACATTACACCCAGCTTTTGAGGTCATGCCCGGCCCCCAAGGTCTCACCCAGGCCCTTAAATCACACTTCGCTTTCAAGGTCAAGGCCACCACCCAAGATTACACCCAGGCACTGAAGTCACACTGAGCCCCCAAGGTCTCACCCAACCCCACACCCTGCTTTCGAGGGCATGCCAAGCCCCCAAGGTTATGCCCGGCCCTCGAAGTTACACCTAGCTTTCGATGTCTCGCCTGGAACCCAAGATTACGTCCACACACTAAAGTCACACACAGCTTTCAAGGTCACACCCAACTCCTGGAATCACACCCAGCTTTTGAGGGCATGCCCAGCCCCCAAGGTTATGTCCAGCCACTGAAGTCACATCTAGTTTTTGAGGTTTGCCTCACCCTAAGGTCTCACCCAACCCCTGAAGTCAACACCCAGTTTTTGAGGTCTCTCTGGCCCCCATGACCCAGCCACTGAAGTCACACCCAACGTTTAAGGTAATAACATCCCCAAGGTCCCATCCAGCACCTGGTGGCTTGCACAATGAACAGAAGGTTTTGGTGAGAGATTTGTGTACACATTGTAATCATATTTAGCAATCTTATTGTGTCCATTGTTTTCACTCTCTAACGCTCCCTTTCCTCTTCCCCCAGGTGCCTGCACCCTTACCTCTAATGCTGCCCAAGTCTGGAGGATCGGAAACAGCGTCCCTCATCACAACCAATGAGTCCCTGACATTCATTGACCAGTAGAATAATGACAGATGGAGCCTCATTAGCAGCTTACCCATCCATTCCCCCTAAAGGGAGAAACAACAATTCTGTATATGTAATGCAATAAGGGAAACAGGCACTGGTGTAAAGTTTTGAAGGCCCAAGAACAAACTTTGGATGAGGTCCCCCTGCCCAGGAGTAAAGCTTACATGTATGCAATGACGCAGGATCGATGGGGGACATGTAATCTGATGAACATCCCAAAAAAATGTTAAGGAGCCAGCTCAGTCCGCCTCTCTTGATCATGTGACATCACAGATCACATGACAGGGATCCCAACATGAAAGAATCAATTTCAGGGAGGTGTCCCTCTCATTTCAGGGAGGTGCCCTCCCCCCATCCGCGGAGGGGGGGTTAGGGGGGGCTGGGAGAGAGCACCCCAGTGAAATGATGGCAGATAGCACAGTAAGCAATAGCTACTTTGCTATCTGCAGGTTTTTTTTCTGATTTTTTTTTAGTATTCTGACAGTTGCAGTCGTCAGAAAAATAAAAAAAAAGGCATACGATTGCATAGCTAGATTCCTATTGGCTATTGCACTTTGCAATAGCCAATAGCAAACTAGCTAATGCACCCGCCCTCTACTGCTTTCAATCCCCAGAAGAGGACCTGATAGAAAAATTCAGGTCCCCCTCTGCTGATTGACAGCAGCAGTGGGCGGGTGCATTAGCTAGTTTGCTATTGGCTATTGCAAAGTGCAATAGCCAATAGGAATCCAGCTACTGTATGCATTCGTATGCCTTTTTTTTTTCTTTTCTGACTGACGGTCGGGCCGCGGCTCCCGATGTCAGAAAAGAAAAAAAAAACGATCGCAGGGAAAGGTTTAATCTGCTTGATAGAGCAGATTAAACCTTTCCGGGAGAAAATGTTTCTCTCCCGGGCGGCCGGGAGCCGCTATCCAATAGCGGGAGACTCCCGGAGCGTCCGGGAGAGATGGGATGTCTGACATGACAGCCCAAGGAACATGTGGGAAGTTG